CTGACCTTCACAACCATTCATTTGAGGGCAGAGCCACAACCACTAAAGCAAAACCACTGAGAAAGCTCCCTAAAGGGAATCTCTGTCATGTTTTAGCTCCCTCTGGCAACTAAGTACCAGTCAGCTGCTCATTTGCCACCCCTGACAGGTGGGATGGGGGAGAGAATCAGAAAAAAAACTTGTGGGTTGAGATAAAAACAGTTTAAGGGAGAAGGAATAATAATAAAGGAATATACAAAACCAAGTGATGCAACAATTGCTCATCACCTGGTGATTGATAGCCCAACCCTGAGCAGTGAATTTCCCCCAGCCAGCTCCCCTCAGCTTATAGACTGACCATGATGACTTATGGCATGAAATGTTCCTTTGGTCTGCATGGGTCAGCTGTCCTGACTGCGTCTCCTCCAGCTTCTTGTAGAGCAGCAGCTGGGAGGGCAGCGGCAGTGTGAGAAACTGAAAAAGTCCTCGCCTTAATGTAAACATTGCTTGGCAACAACTAAAACATCAGTGTTACCCACATTCTTCTCAGTATAAATCCAAAACACATCCTCATACTAGCTACTCTGAAGAAAATTAACTGTTCCAGCCAAAACCAGCGCAGACTTACAGAGAGACCCAAACTGCTTTAGGAAAGCAGCTTGGAGAGGTTTTTCCTGGAAAACAGGAAAAATTCTGAGTGGCCTACAGCTACTGTAAGAGGCTTCCTTGAGGATAAAGAGGCTCACTTTAAACTCCTCCACACTTTAGCTCTGTTCAGGAGGAATCGTTTCATACCACTGGCAATCAGATAGAGCAGCACTGAGGCTGAGTGAGTGCACAAATAGACTGCAGGGCTACAGGGCTTTTCAGCTATGGTACCCACACGTCAGTCCTCACAGGGAGCAAGGTCCCACATCTGTCAGCCCTGGGAAGATGGATGGGTTGAGGGGGAGAGCACCTGCAGTATTGAGAGGAGAGGATCTCGTGGGTTGCTGTCTGGCTTTGCAGAAGAGGTTGGGACTGTCAAATCAAGGTGATGTCTCTAGCTCCCTGCAGCCAGCCATGCTGATAAGGCTGCAGTGAGACTGGCCAGCAGCCCAGAGCTGGCAGGGAGGGCTCCCCCATCCTGCACCCTTTCATTGCACAGCCCTCACTGCCTGGACATCTTATTCTGTGCTCACACATCTTCCTCTTCCCCCAGGCTCCTTCCACCCTGAAAAAAGTGCTGAAAGGAGTGATTTTCCTTCCACTTCTTAGCCTTCTCTTTTTTTTTTTTTTTTTTTTTTAATGTTGGGGGCTGGAGGGTCTATGCTTTTTGACATTGGAAATCGAAAAAGGTGTGGTTTGTGTGCTGCAGAGAACCGAGTGCTTCCAGAGAGAGAAGACACAAATCACGAGGACACCCTGCTGTCTCTGCTTCTTAATAAGAAGCTTGCGTGGCGGAGACCGGAAAGTATCGGTAAGTGAAGGGGATGGGAGATCTCAGCTTCTTGAATCTTTGCTTGCATGAATGTACGGAACCCGCTCCTCAGGTTCCTCTGAAATACCTGCTGCTCAGAAAGTGGAAGCACCCAGTGCCCGCATGCGATTAACGTCAGGTATTCCGTCTGCACCATGGGGCTCCTGGACCTGCTTTTGCAATGTGATGTAAAGCTGCCCAAACCCACGCACCCTGGATCCTCAGACACCCAACACTGAGCTGCCAATGGAGCACGTGTGTGTATATAACTAACATCAAGAAGAGATTCTGCTGAATCCCTGTGCCCCTGCCATCCCCGAGATGTTGCGTACTATGCCTGGGCACGGGCCAGCCTGGGGAGTCACTCTCACCCACACGCCCAGACAGCCCGGTGTGCGTTTGAGATAGAGCGCAGTGCCTGGCTGACATCTAACACCAGCAGCATCTTGTGAGCACACAGGGCAGCGGGGCAGTGTCAAGATTTTGCAGACGGCTGAGATTCCCTGGGTCTGGTGTAGGTGGGGACAAGAGGAGTGGTAGCTCTGGTCTAAGCCTGAGCTATGGCTGCTGGAAGAGGATGAGACAAAGGGCTTTTCCCACACAGTGGAGAGGCCAAATATGGGCCGTGGGGAGGCTGTTCCTGTCACTGCTCTGTGAACAGGCACCAGATTTAAAGCCACCCACATGTTGCAGCAGCCTCTAAACTCAGACCCGCCGAGGATAAACTTGGGCTTTCCGTGACGCTACACACAGCCATCACAAGCACCATATGGATTATTACAGGGGTCAGCTGTTCTCACGGCCACCGCAGCCAGGGGAGGGTTTGGGCCACGTGTGGTGGTCTCAGAGCAGGGAGCTGCCCTTCGCTGTGAAAACAGCCGAGAACGGGGCCCAGCAAAAAGTTTGTTATGAAAATCCATTCATCAAAACCACTCAGTGCTCTTCCCCAGCCCCTTGTTAATGCAGTGAGGCAGTGGTTAAACAATCCTGGGACAAATAAACAAACACAAATAAATCAAGTCCTTATACTAACAAAGGCATTCTTCTTGCAAAGGGGATGCATTCAAGAAATAACATTTTTATGATTGGTTTATGGATTACTGCACTTATTACTCCTAGAGGAAAGGCTGCATTTTATGCCAGACAATTGAATATAATGAATCTCTGAGCAGAGCACAGACAGAGGATTTACAGCAGGCAGTTTCTCAAGGCTTCATCCATAAATTAACTTCCTTCCTCCTGTCTGAGATAATCTTTTCCAAATTTCGGCCGCTATTTATTTTCTATACATAGCAGTCATTGGCCAAGCTTACGGCATGTGGAAAGTCAAGCCAAAACTGGCACTTGGAAGTCTGAAAGAGGTAAAAATTCATATAATAATCATCATCATCTCTTAAGTGACACTTTTCACTTGCAGATACGTAGGCCTGGCTGTCTCTACCTTAAGGATATGTAAAAACTTGCTTAAGAGGACTCTGTCTAAAGTCATTGCTGGCAGTGCTAGGAAGAGAGCCCCCATCTCCTGACTCCCAGCCCACCCCTATCCCCATCCCTTCTCTCAAACTGAGCCCTGATGTAATGGATTTGCCTAGGAATTGCTGCTTGTTCTGTTGGATGAATATCTGTTAGAAAATATTCAGGATTCTTCAACTGAATTGTTTCCTTCTGGAAGGAGAAACTGTGAAGGCAGCCAGCTCTTCCTTGGCACCCCTCTGCTCAGTTTCAAACATTTAAAAAAATAAGCCCAAGTCTGGCAATGTGTCTGTGTGCTGAAGTCTTATCTGAAATCAGGGGGAATTATGTCCTAAATCCCTTTGGAGATGCAGACCAATGCCTGCTGCCATTAGGAGCAGACAAAGGAGGCAGCTCCAGGGTTGGCTTTTGGTTTTCTAGTGGGGCCCAGCACAGACATTCTCTAGCCCTTTCCTGGCCCTTCTGCTTATTTTAGCGCATTTTTTCCCCTAAACTGACACTTAAAAACAGCTGATCACTTTGCATTTCCCTCCCAGGAGAATAGCTGTAGTCCAGTCATTCAGCTTTGACTGAGCTCCTTTTTTTCATGGTGCTTTCCTTTGTTTCAGCTATCATAAAAAAACCCCAAAACTGTTTTTTACATCAATTTAAGCCTGGAATAAGGTACCTCAGTCCTCAAGGGGAATAAGATTGAAATCCCCCATCCTTTCCTGCAGCTTTCCCTATTTTCACCCATCTGCATAATTTTTTGACAGCCTAGTGCAGTACTGCTCAGCCTTGAGAACTCCAAGTCCGATCTGTGAAGCTGGTCCCCAGGTCCTTGTTTTCCCCTAACGTGTAGAAGTGGGAAGCCCGTGTGCTTACTGCTGTGTTACTTTTCCTGTTGCTCCACTCTGCCATCCCTGATGTTTGCTGACTTAGATAGCAATAGGCTATGCTAGGCTAAATCTGTGTCTTCTGACTTCTGCCTGCACGGGTGACGTGAGGGTAAACAAGTCTTAAAGGAAGCAATGGGAGTTCATATAAAAGGCCAGTGACAGAAAAGCCAGCATTAGGGATTTGCTGTTATCAAGATGAATATTAAAAAGCAGCAAAAAGGTTCACCTGAGCTGGTATCACACAGTAGGTGACCTGTTGGGCCAATCCCGTTAGGACAAAAAAGCCTCCTTTGTAATGGAGAATTAGGGTACAGTCCCATAGAATTCACAGAGCAAGCCTGCTTTTCTGTCACCACTTCTGCTACTGCAGATTTGGAGGTCACTATCAGGTAATAAATGATAGCCAGGGGTTTTTGTCAACCACTGAAGTGGTTTAATGAAACAATGGTTTGGGTTTGAGCTTTGGGAAGCAACGCAGACACTGATATTACTCTCACCCTTCTTGCAGACTGGGAGCTGGCAAAGAAATTTGAAGAGCTTGAACAGGTAAGAGGAGCAAATACACAGACATATATATCCATATTGTTGCATGAATAGCTAAACAACTGTGTATGTTGTCTTTATGCCCTATTCTTCTACCTTTACATCCTGCTATCCTTCATTCTGCTGCTATAATGTAAGCATGTCACACAGGGAAAAGCAGAACTTGGGCTGAATAGCTGCATAAGCTGGAAAAGATAAGAAGAGAGCAAGGCTATAGAGTAGTACAATAAAGGATGAGGTAGCTCTTGCCTCTGCCATCAGTGAAAGTGCCTGTACCTCCAGCCTCTGAGCCACCCTGTACTGGCCAGCATGCTGTAGAGTGACTCATGATGGGGCATTGCTTTACTGCTGTGTTTGCTTTTAAACAGCTGGAGAAGTTGAAGGACCAGCTCTCAACTGAGGAAGGGTCAGAGGTGGCCTACGCCTTGGAAAGTCTCTCAGCATCCCAGCCCAAAAAACGCGGTAGGTTTTGGATTAGAGCCCTGCAGCCACCCTGCCCAGCTCTCATCTCCAGGGCTTCTCTTCTGCAACAAGGACAGTGACAGTAAACATGCCCCAGATATGCTGAAAAACAGGCTGGCAGCTTTTCTGCAGTCCTGGCCCTCTCTTAATAATGTCTGGCTGGTTTAGCAGCTGTGGAGGACTGTGTACCCAATCCTGTCAGCTGCTGGGACACACACTGGGCTTGCACACCCAGGACCTCACTAGGGGCAGTGAGTGTTGCATCTCTCTCTTCACAGAGGAACATGGGGTTATGTGAGCAATGAGTGCTTGTCCTGAAGGGGGGAGTTGTGTATGAACTGGTCCCTGCAGTGCACCCGTCCCCACAGCGCACCGTCGCTTTGCTCTGGGCACAAAGCTAGTGCTGAAGGCATAATGAGGCATGTGGAGGGCATGCATTCCCCTCTGCCAAGGTCACTGCCTCCCTACAGAGAAGAAAGGAGCACTTGTTTGTGCTGCTGAAAAGCAGCTAAAAGGGATGTGGAAATCAACCAAGAATGCAGGGAGCTGAGATCTAGTAGGTCTCCCAGTCTGTCTCCAAGCTTTGTCCAGTCTGTACCCACCCAGTGCCTCAGGACCATATTGCACCTTGCCCCTGCAAGGCTGCCCCTGACAATCACATGGACATTTCTGTTCACGCTGGTTTTCAGTGCATTCCTCCACAAAGCAGTGGCAGCTATAAACAAGAAGTCACTGATGACAGATCTGGCCTAAAACCAAAAGAGCTAGTTCTGCCCTTACCCCACACGAAAGCTGACAACCTGCCAGACAGCCAAGAGAAAATCCCTTTGTTCAAGGCTTGCTTAAGTGCTTAGGTGATCCTTAGACAATCTGCAATTCATAAGCAACCCTGGAGGCTGTCATTAATTTGGCTAATCTAATTCATGCCCCCACCAGTCTGGAAGGTTCAAATGTAGATAAAACTATTTCTCCTTGCCAGGTTTAAATTAGATTCTGCCAGAAGTTAAAGTAGAGAAGCTTTGCCTAAAGTCCTTCCAGTCTGGGAGAAGCTCATGTCTCAGCATGAGCATTGCTGATTCAGTAGAAGCTTTCTCCCAGTATCTTGCTTTCAAAAACCAGGTAGAAATCTCTTCTCACACTTGACAATAGGAGACGCGCACAGGATTCAAAGAACAGGGCATGTTAGTGATACAGCTTTTTTCCAAATGTACATCCTTCCCTAATCTAGTCTTCTTGGAAGGTTGCACAGAGATCAATGTTTGGAAGACAGTTAGCAGCAGTGACAGACCACCTGGGCTTAAAAAAAAAATTGTGAGGGGCAGATCCAGTCAGTATCCTGCTTTTCCTATCAGTCACGGGTGAAAAACCCTGCACACACCTCCAAGACAGCAAAACTGCTGGCCAGTAGACAGGAAAGAAAAAACTAATTCCTGATATTGCTGAAGTAGAGCAAAAGGAAAGCAGACCCTTATAAATCAAGCAAACAGAAAAAACTTTTAGATCCCTTATTCACACTGTAAGCAGCTAAAAGAAACATCTTCTAGAAGTGTTATGTGAAGTCAAAGCTGGTTATTGAGATGTGCCCAGAAACCTCAATGCTGGCTTCACATCCCAATTCACTCAAACCCTGGGGCTTTTGAAACCCACTCCAGGGCTAGAGCGGGAAGCCGGAAAAAGTCCCTTGGATGCTGACATCCTTCTCTTGTATCCCTTCTCAGCCTGCTTTTGGAAATACTGCATCTGAAGGCTTGCCAGGACTGGAGGATGAAGATGAGCCCTTCCCCAAACTGCCTTTCTGGGTATAAGTGTGTTAAGTTTGTTCTGTTCTCTCATCGTGCTGCTGATGTGGATGACATCCTCCCTGACCGCACCACAGCCAAGTTCAACAGGGACCGTGACAGGAGCTGGTAGCCCACTCCCACTCTCCACTGTTCCTTCCTTCCAGGTTTAACCTGCCATAATCTTCAATTTGGAAGATGCTTCCAAACTTTCGTTGCTGTCCTGTGTGTGCCATGCGGTCCACTGCCACTGTACACTCTTCCCCGTCTCACCAAGCCCCCCAAGGCACCAAATACTAACTCAGTTTCCCTGAGCTTGGGCCTCTGCCCACCCCCACAGGTGTTGCTCACGGTGGTGTCTGGGTTTCCCGGCATCTCCTCCGAGCGGGTTTGTGATGGCCTAACACCCACTGTTGGGACAGGAAGGCAGATGGGATACAACGTGAAGGGCTCGGGGTGCCTGCCGTGACTTGCTGAGCCAGAGCTGTTCCTCATCGCGTCCCGTCAGTGTACGCAGTAGGTTTGGGGGAGGACAGGCACAGAAGTCTGGATCCTTTGGATATCATTCCAATAAAGATTTTCTGTTGCACAGAAGCACGTGCTGTTTTCTTTCTCACCCCCTGCAGAGGCCCAAGGGGCAGCACATTTCCCCTGACGTAGGCTCTTGTTACCTTAATGATTTGTGTGAAGTTTACAACAGAAAAAAAGCTCCTATTAAACACCTAGGTATAGCAACACTCCCTAGTTTTATTGTGCCTGAGGAAGGAGCCTTTCCTTTTGATCATAACTGGGAATGAGAGTTGGGTCTTCCTTGTGGATGTGTGTGGGCTGCTGTATGGATAGGACTAGACCAGAGCCACTGATTTCTACCTCCTCACCCCAAAGAGATGTTTTGAGCAGAGATTTTTGACTCATCTGGCTGGTCAGTGCAGATGCTAGGTGGCTTTTCCTGCTGTAGAATCATGTCTGCCCCTGTCCAAAAGGAAGACATCACAATCCATCAGCAGTTCCTACATATATTCATCTTAAGCCACATTTTCTACATTTATTTGCAAAAACAAATTATCATGTTCCCAAAGGTGTAAATTCAGAATAAATCCTGTTGTTAACTTTGAAGTTTCTAACAGTGTAAACGAGAGCAGAATCTGGTAGCCACTGTGAACGTGTGGACTGATTTTGACTAGAGTTGAACTGTCTCTCCAGCCCTGTCAAGCCGTGCTATTTAACAGTAGCTTGCACATTACATATTCTTCAAAACTTTACCTCTCCCAAAGCTGTAATACCACGCTACTTTCATTGCCTTGGGCTCTGGCAAGAAGCACCCGCTTACAGCACCAGTACCTTGTATGCACTTCATTAACAGATGTATTCATCCCAATACAGGCCAAAGCCAGCATCTATGGAATAAAACCAGTGTGATGATATCAAGTGAGGGCTAATGACATGCAAAATACAGTTCGCTGTTAACATTAATTCTTTGTTATTTCCTTGGCAGTGATTCAGAACACTTTTCCCATTTTCTGTTGCTTTTGTGGAAGGGAAAAGGTAGGTGGGAGCACACTTTCACATACCCTCAAATCAGCACCAAATCCAGGAAAAAATTACAGCTTATTGCCAAGAGAAGGGTTTTACTTTCTGAAAGAGTTTGGTGCTCCAGCTGAAAGGGAGGTGTATTGCAAGAGCTGCAATGAGTGCCCCAAGTTGGTGTTCAGCTGGGATGCTTTCAGCTCGCGGGAAATCCCAGTGCAACGGAAGGCCGGAGCAGCAGGCTCCATCTGTTACCTGCTAGCTGTAGCCATGCCTTCCCGACCTGGTGTGATAACTCATCAGCAAGTCAGGAGAAGGAATACAGCATCTGTGGCTATTTAACAGCTTGCTCTGATCCTAGACACAGGAATTCCCCGGAGTGCAATGCACCATGCTGCTTAGCAGTGATTTTTAGCCCACATGGTCTGCTACATCCTATCAGCGCTGTATTTAAGTCCTCAAGGCACCTGAACTACCCCACTATTTCCTCACAGGCACTATACACTGCTGTGTTGCTGGAGTGATAAATAAGTATTAAATGCAATTCATTTACTAATTCAAAGCAGAGGTGGTGATGCTTTCCCCAGGCTTTCCCTCCACTTGTCACTGCAGAGGTCCTGTCCTTTCTCCTAAGCATGTGGAAGAGAAACTCTTCTTTCTCAGGTGCCACCTCCACATCGTGGCTGCTCACCCCTTACCCATGCCCTATGCTTGGGCAGTCACTGTTGCTGAAGTTAATGAACCACAGGCAATAATTAAAGGGGTTTCCCTTAGACATTCTAGTAGACCATGTTGATTTATTAGCAGAAGATCCTCACAGGCATCTGAATAGATTTGCAAACTGGCAGCACAGGACAAATCTAGCGTGCAAAGGATGCTGCAGTATATCCTCAGTTCACATTTGTTGACCTCCATACTATGCACAATTACTGAAGCTATAGAATATTCTCTATGAAAACAAATCGTGGTGTTCAGCCTTTCAGATATCATCACACTTTAAACAGTACCTGCCAATTTATGGATTTTAAAGAGTGCTTTTTAAGCTGCAGGAGGTCTCAGTGTGCTCTGTGGTGGATGGGGCAGAGGAATAGAGAGGCTGTTGCTTTCTTCCAAGTAATCCATGCAGTGAGGTGGGATCCAAGCTTCCAGCTCCCAGTTCCACCACCACAGACACCTCTGTCCTGCCTTGCTTTCACATCACCCTTGGAGGGTGATACAGGGCATTTCTGCACACAACTTAGAGGCTTTAAAACCCCTCTGTTTTTGGAAGCCCAGGCTAATACCTGCCAACTCTTAAATACTTTTATGATCCAACAGTATCTTTGCAGAGCTGCTGTGTTAGAATTGGATTCCTCTGATCTGAGTCTCCCAAAATATGTTACAAAATGCTCCTTTTGACAGACAGCTGTATGAGTGGTCAGGTCATCACTTCCATAATCTGCCCATGCCCCATACATATGGCTACCTTACAAGCAGATTATCTGCAGACTGTCTGGATGAGATCAGCGCAAGATAACTGTTTACTGAACTGCAGGGCAGGCTCGGGATAGGTGGTGGCAGTGCATGGTGGAGGACAGCGTCTGGGCTTGTCTGAGTCCGCATTTGCAGATTTGCCTCTAGCATGGACAGAAAATCCTGTCTCAGGTCAGCCAGTTTGCATGCACACACTCAATCCAGCTCTCAGAGCCTTCACCTGCAGGTTTAAAGGCAGAAAAAGAACAGTGGGAACAGAGGAAATGCGGGGAGCAAAAAAAGATGACCACATATGGACTTTCAGCCCTTCTTTCTATGACTTTAAAGATTTTGATCTGGAAAGCATCTGCAGTGCTTTACCTCACACAGAAGCACCAACTCACCCACAGAAGGAGGAACGACCACGTAACTCAGCTAGAGTGCTCTGCTTGATGGGAAATGTGGGGGCACCTCTAGGTGTGGTTCACTGGTTTGTGCAGCTGCTCTCAGTGGCTTTAGCCTGTACTGGAGATGTCAAGAAAAGCAGTTGCTTGCAAACTTTCTGTGGCTTGGTCAGTCTTGGTCTTGGGGCAGGGCTATAAGTAAAAAGGAAAACGGGAAAGGCCCTTGCTGTGGCTGAGCACTGCCCCTTCTCAGACATGAATTGGGTGCTACCCGCCTTTCTGAGAGGCAGCCTCATCTCCCACCATAGCCCGAACCAGGGCAGTTGCAGCAGTATCCCAACCCTCAGAACAACTTTAACTTCAAAGACTCACCAACTTCCCAAATCTTTGCCAGTAGCTGACTGAAAAACTGACTTTTGCCACATTTTGCTAGCCAAAGACCAGGTGCTTTGTGCCTGACATTAGATCAGGAAATTAACACTTAATTACTATCTCCAGCCTTATGACAACTTTCTGCCTAACGCAGGGTATTTGGCAAGAAGTTTTTCCTAGTGCTGCATAATCCCTTTCTCAGTAGATCTTCTTTTGCAATGCTATGGAAGATTTATACCCAAGAATAGCAATCCAAGGAATTTAGCTGACATGGATCAAAATCCAAGAAGGAACATAAAAGGTTTAGAAAACATCAGCTAGGAATCTGAGCATTGAAATGTCAGCAAACAGCTCTTTTCAGCTATATTTTATAACATAGAAAGAAGTGACAAGCATGAAACAGGATTTAAGATAACCTGTTTTACTCTGAAATGAAGTGGAGGGGACATGTTTACATTTTACCAGAGTGAGAAATACTTGAACTCTTAAGAGTTGGATGTCTGCTTACGCCCCATGCACTCATCGAGAGGCTAAATTAAGGCATGTGATGCAGATGGCTTAGGAAGTAGCTGACTTCATATTTGGACGCTATCCTATGTTATGCATAGGCAGGAGTGAAATGTATTCATCAGCTTAGAGGAGGAAACTAGAAGTCTCACCACATTTCAGGATCTGCCACATGATGAAAACATGTCTAAATACAGTGCAGAGATAAGAGGAAGAACTACTAAAAACATCAAGACAAATACAAAGGTATTGTCATTGTTCTTACTCAGACTAGTGAAGTCAGTAGACATCTTCTCCCGAACAGCAGTTCAAATAAATTCTAGGTTTGCCCCATAACCATTAATTCCCCCTCTTCATCTACCAAACAAACACCCTCTTGAAGGAAACGTGCAAAGCAAACTGGCTGCTTTTCATGGACTGCTGTTGGCATTTCTGGAAGTTTTATTTTCAGTCCAGAAAATCTATCAGTCTTTGCTAGGATAATGAACTTCAGCAAGTTTAAGAAATAAATGCCATGCAATTAAACTATATACATATATTCTGTTCCCTCCTATCACTGTGCACAACTGTGAGAGCATTCTGACCTGATAAAATGAATTTGTTATTATTTGTAAATGGCAACGTGAAACAGATTTTGCAGGATATCAATTCGTTGAGCATTGAATCATTGGTCAATGACAAGACGTGCTGTGATGCATCTTCCGTATTCCTGTAATGTTTCCCATACAGCGTCAGTCATTCAGAACAGAAGCACCTGTAGGCAGAAAAGCAGTAAAGATTACCTTTTCCCATGCCAGAAATGCAAAGCTTGGACAAACAAACTGTAAGGTGATCTACAGGAGGTGGAAAATGTTAGGAATACTTGCTTTCCTGTAGGGAGGTACTAAGTTGTAATTTAGGGCATTCAAGCTAAATGGACAGTCACAATCCATGGTATAAGAAGCCATCATTCCCCAAACCACCCTTTCCAAGCCTACTGGCATGACGAGTATTTCCATGTAACTGAGAACAGGAGAGGTTCTCTGAGCCTGCCCACACTGGCTTACTTGCAGGAACTGCTAACCCTTGGTGTTGCCCAGACGGCTCACTCCAATCCGGTCAAGAGGAACTCCAAACCGTCTCTTAGGCAGCTCAACCACTTTCCTGCACAGGGAAAAAAAAGCAAAGAAGGAGGGAAAGAATTGGGGAAAGACACTCATCCCACTAACGACTTCATTGTTTAGACAGAACAGCTGTGCAGGAGCAGCCAAAGATGTGAGTGTTTAAAAATAACATGTTTCACTGCCTTACAAAAGAATAGGCGAGAGTTGCAGCTGTTTTACAGACTGGCTGACGTTGATCCACTAATCCTGGTTCTATGTGGCAGCAAACAAGTAAGTTCACAGGTTAACTGCTTTTCATAAAAGAAAGGAGATACACTGCATGTATAAAGGGGAATCATGTGCATAGTATCCTATCAGGTGACCTGTTAGCCTGGATCTTTGAAACCTCCAGTGCCAACCAGAGTTAAGATAAGCAAGAAGGTAGAAAATGTTGCTCAGTAACAGAGGGGACAAGTCAGAGGAGCCCTAGCAGGGTTTTCCTACTGAGTGTCCTGTGAAGCACTGTTCTCGAAATTGTATAGTAGCAATCCTTCGATGGGATTGAAAATGGGAGGGTTTTGGGCTTGGTTTTTTTTCCTCCATATGGTACATTCCCTGATGATTTGATGAATGAGGGTATGAGGACTGTATGAAAGCAGGTCTAGCCAGGAATACTTTAGTATGATTTTTAAAATATAAGTTTTGCCATCTTAATTCAGCATTTTTAAGCTTTTTTTTTTTCCCTCCACCAACAGAAGTTTTATTTTAATTAATTGTGGAAATAGTGAGATTTTCTGCAGCTGAGAATAACCTCAACTTTTGCCCTTGGAAATACTTGCCAGTGAAATGCAGGTCCAAGAGAAGCCCTGGAAGATGAACACTTCTCTATCTGTCCTTGTCAAGGAACATAAACAAAAAGAAATTTTGCTCTGTAAGTTAGCAAATGCAAAGTAACTAGCACTCAAGTCTGACTGTGTGCTAGCACTGCCATGCTCACTCAGCCTGTGGCTTTGGGGGCTCTGCACATCCCTCCAGGACCATACCTCGTCCATTGACTGAGATGAGCAGTTTCCTTTCTTCACACCTCCCGGGCATGGGTTGAAGCCCAGAGGCACCCTTGCAGCATTGGCAGCCCATTTCATACTGCCTCTTTTCTAGCTGCTTTTCAGATGAGGTCAAGAAACAGGAATTGATGTTGTACCACATATGTAGGGAGCAACCACATGGGTCATGCTGGAGCAGCTACAGAACATCGCAAATGAAGGGAAGCCATTTGTATAGCCTCCAACAACACCCACGTATCCAGCCCTGTTGCATAAAGCCACAGCGAAAGAGAAGGGAAAGAAAGCCAAGAGCTGACCCGCAGTCCCTTGCCTTAAGGGCAGCACCCACTTCTTCCCAGGGTGTAGGCACAAGCAGGTGGGGGACTTGGGCTCCTGGTGTCACGCTGACCCATAAAAAATGGAATAGAGTTCCCAGATTGGATTAAAGGGGTGGGTCTGCATTGGTAGCTGTAAAACCATCATGCTCGGTAGTTAAACGGAGAAGGAAATTGTGAACTGCCCATGGGAAAGGCTGAGCAAGCAGGCAGCGCAGGGCAGGCAGCTTCCCCTCTTGTGGCCATCCCGAGCCAGAACAGGAGTCGCAGCTCCCTCCTCAGCCCCCTGAGCCACTTCCAGCTTCCAAAGCAGACTGTGCCTATTTCAGCACTAGGGACAAAGAGATGTTCTCTATCTCAAACAGCCTTTTCTAAGGTTCCCAGGCTCTCTTTCTGCCTGTCTGTGCATCTCTCTACATGCTTTCAACACTTGTGTCTTCTTGCATGCTTTTCCCATCCTCTCAAAGCTTTATAAATTGATGCTGATGAGCAAGATTAGGACCTGGGCCCTCCTGTCACTGGTGCGTGCCACAACAATCTGTTAAGTGGAATTATATTTGAACTGCTCTTTTCCAAATGTTTCTTCTGTGTTGCCAGGCACTACAGACACTACATTAATTCAGGGGCTGAATCTATTTAACAGCTTTCACACTTCAAAAGTCATTATTTGGTCTCTAAAGGTAACCATCTCAGCTGTACAGAAATGGGCTGTTATTTACTGTGTAGTACAGCAGCCTCTGCCTGTTTTGACCTAAAGGTACAGCCTTTCTGCTGCTGCATAGCACGCATCTGATCTGCAGTGCGTGCTGGTGGCAGCATCTGACTATCAACACAGGGATCAAGGTAGCTCAGGTGGTTCTAATAAATGAGTCAACCCCAAACTCCCCCCAAAGTGATAATCTCAACGCAAAACTGCGAACTGTGCTAATGATGCTGGGAAAGGAGGAAATTTGTGCAGTTTGTCACTCATTTGTACAGATTCATTATTCAGAGATAAGCTGTTAGAGAACTTGGACAATTTTCACCACAATTTCCCTTTTTTGTGGTTTTCTTTCTTTTTTTTTTTTTTTTATTTTTCCCCTCCCGCTTTGGACTGCACTTAGAATGAAACAAGATTTCCACCAAAAAAACATGAGACACATCAGGAATACTGTGTACTCTTACAAAATAGGCATTGCAGCTTCAAAAATTACCTTGCATTTCTTCTCCTGGAAAGGGAAAACATGCTAAAAATCAAGCAAAGAATGAGCTGATACTGATCTCTTGAAGAGATATACGGAACAGAATAGTTCTATTCAAGGTTTTAAGAATTTTGTATTGTATCACTTTTGGCTACAGTAAAAAGTCCTAGTAGTAGACTGGGTGGATTAATGGAAAAACAACAAGAAAATATTACAAAACTCTGTTTGAAAAAAGAAAAAAAAAAAGCTTGTAATGCTGACTGGTTCTTGTGAATAGTTTCCACTTCCAAATTAAGCTTTAAGTATTGTATTAAATACTTTGTGGCATTGGGGATTCCATCCAAAAGAAGACAGTTACCAGAAGAAGGGAACAAGATCATTAAAGCTCTTTCAGATAGAACGAGCAGCCCCTTGAGCTTTACCCCAAACTCTGTGGTTCCCCCCAGCCATATCGAGCATCATTGCTTAGCCCCATTATAAACATACTTATCTTCAAATGTCTGCTGTGAAGGTAGGGCTGTACTGCTGTATTGGTTAAACCCCGACTTATCATGAACTGATCGAGGTCTTGAAGTCCATTCTATTAACTGTCTGCCCATGCATACCACCATACCTTCTCTTCACCCCACCCTCGGGAACACCTAGTCCTGCCCCTCTGCTTTTGAACCTCAGGACTGTTTTTGCTTTAAATAATCTCACGATCAAAAAAAGACATTTTAAAACTGAATATTAGTTCACATCAGTGGAAATGTACTAAAAAATGCATATGCCTGAATGTCCTCTGTTAGCTGTATGGCAGTATGGGGATAAATGAACTAGTACATGCATTATTCATCACAGCTGATGGATTACACACCATGCAGCCCGAATGATTTCTGTAGAAATCCTGGTACCCTGACCAGAGGCACCTCACAACTGGCCAGTAAACTCGCTGGTGGCTAAAGCTAACCCATCTGTACCCAGGACACCTACCAACAGCCTTTTCGCAACTTTATCACTGGTAGGATCTGAGAATTTACCTCTGTTTGCCTTTAGCATCCACAGAGGTCGAAGAAATCCTGTCAATAGGGGAGCCAAATCCTGGGAAACTTCTTTTCTTCTTGGTCTCGGTCACCTCATTCTCCAGAGACACCAGCTCGTCGAGAAGGAACAGTTTGGCTGCCAGGCTGGTGGCTGACTTCTCTTCACTGGCAATGGGATGTGTTCCCATGCCCTGAGCAGCAGAAGGCTCCAAAGGCTGCAAAAGAAAGGGGGGATGTTTTCTTGCTGCTGAAGATCCGGGAAACTCATTTCAACCAGTGTCACAGCAGCAGTCCTATAAATACATAATCAGTGGGATTCTAAACCTGGGACAATGTTTTAAAACAAAGTTCCTGCTGTGAAGTGTGGCCATTTTCCACCAGAAGGAGTTTGCCATAAAAGGTTGGGAATTTTTTTTTTAATAGAATTGAACTCGCCTTCATTATTATTGCAAGAATTATCAAAAGTTATTACTCCACAAAGCCTGCTTTAATAGGCCAGCCCACTATCCCTATCTCAGCAGTGTGATTAGGATCACTTATGACATGCCCTGAGTAATTTAATCCTTTTTAAAAATGCAGTCACCATTACTAGGCTACAATATCCATCCTGATATTTTTCAGAAAACTGATTTTAATTTTTAAAATGAATGCTAATAAAGAGTAATGAAAACTTACATAGTTTTCATCCAAGGTTGACAAATTAATTAATTATTATGCAAAAATATCCCAAGATAAACTTGCTCAGCACTAGCATTCAAGGGATTAGTGCATTAACACTATGTGGGGAGGAGGAAAGGAAAGAACAGTCTGTTGACTAGACACAGAATTTTGAACCTTAGTTATGACATTAGGCTTAGCACCTTTTCAAAACCAAACTCTAGTTTGCTATCTAGAATAGCTGGGAACATTGGGGTCTATCAAGACAGAAAGGAAACAAAACAAAGTGAAATATTTGATTTGCAAATAAGAGAAAAATATAGGGCAGCAGCTAGTCTACAAAAGCAGGTGTCAAGCTCTAATCATTCTTTCTTGAGATGAAATATTTGCCTTCTTGCTCCATTTGATCTTCACAGAATAAGATAAAAATTTACAACGAAAACTTTCATTATATGCCTTGAAGCAGGTTTTCCTTTCTCTTTAGAAGCACACCACTATCTTGCTTACTCATACACAGTGAGTTCAGTACAACTGTAAAGAAAGCCGTCACACGGACGATGCAATACGCTTGTATCTACTGCACTCCACACCATAGGTGTGGTGATGACATTTTCCACTACTGAAGGGTGTCATAACCAGTGATTGAGTGTATAAACTTGATCTTTATACAAGGAGGAGCACATGACCACAATGATGACACAAATGAAGTAGCACCATTAATACTTCCGTAAAGGATCCCATATTGTCCTCTGACTTTACTTTTTATGAGCCTCAAGTGCACTGAGCAACCCTTTCTGTTCCCTTTCAGGGTTATAAAACTTTCATAGAAGTTTGCAACAAAATTATGCTTTTAAAAGAAGGTAAAAAATAGCATCTGCTCTTTAGCACTTTGTGCAGTCCCACTTACTTGGTCTTAAAAAGGATGTAACAGAATTGTAAAAAGTAAAGAGACAGCTAAAATCATAATCAGAAGTAGGAACAGTTTTCCTATGTTGAACCACTGAAAAAGCACAACTTCACAGATAAGTAAAGAGGTAAATATGTGAATGGGGATGCAGTGGAGGGTTTATAAATTTAAACAGCAAAGAAGTGAATAAAGACTAGCAATTTTTTCCCAAGAAAAAGATCTCCCCAGTCCACCCAGCGAAATCATGAGATGGTGAATTTAAAATAAATATAAGGAGCTACATTTTAAACACAGCACATAGATGAATTGGAATGCATTGCCGAAGGACATCATGGATACCAAGATTTTACACTGTTTAAAAGACGAATTCAGGCCCATCAGCATCTAAAACATACCCTGGTCCAGTGCAAGTCTGGTTCAGGAAGACACTGAAAATATGCTGTGCTTATATTCTTTTAAGAAAAATCAGTCATTGATAGAGACAGGATACCCGGTCTCTGTGGCATCAGAACAGCAGCTGCTGCAGCACTAACGTGGAGGGCGATTCCCCAAGCCCTATGTTCTGTAAGAGATATTTTGTAGAACCAGGGCAGGCTCACTTGGCAACAGAGAGCAAGGTAGAAGGATCCGTCAGTATGCATCTAACTTCTAAGCTCATCTTAAAAACCTCTGTAAAGACCTTAGAGCTGAACAGTGCTACTTTGATTAAACTTTTAGATCCTTGATGTTTTTATGGCATGAAACCGTTATATAAATACCTTTCCTGCCAGATCTGTTTCATGTCAAGCTGACATGAAAAGAAGAGAATGCAGTAGAAGTTATTTTCAGGTGCAACCTCTGCATATTGTGCTGGAGGAAACGCGAGAGAGCTCTCCCACTTCATCCACTGATCTCCTTCACAAGCTTAGGCAAGTTACTTTGCTCCTTCCCACTCCTCGTCCCTTCTGTGTCCTTTAATTCGTAACTTTTGTGCAGATGGTTTTCTCTCAGGGATCTCCTTTTGGCTTCTGAAAGCTGCAGACTTCTCATACTATTATTTATCTTTAAGGAGAAGAATGAGACCTTCCCTTCAGTGTTAGAGGAGTTTGCTTCTCCACCTCATCATCTCCTTCCCCTCTTCAGGAGGTTCTCTACCCAAAGTCACTGGGCTATGTTTTAACACAGAAAATCTCCCTCAGGAGAGGTTGCATGAATCTGAGACTTCATTCTGTGTGTCGTCCCAGAGCCAGGCCCTTTGCATAGCTCCCTTCACTGGGGAAGCTTGCTCTCACAGAGTCAATACTGACTGTTCACCTTCCAACACAGCTCAGAGACCATGGTGTCTTCCACTCTCCGTGGCCACAAACAGCCAGAGGAAGAGCAGGGTTATGTCACAACCACCAGAAACATTCACCTACCTCTGTCACAGCCTTGGCGAGGATCACTGAGCCAGAGTGCCTCTGCAGCATGGTGACCATGAGGGCCAAATGCACCACCACAAGCTGGAGCTGCAGCATCTGCAAAGGAGAACAAGCTATTAATGGCTTCACAGATGCATTCCCTAGTTCCCAGAGGAACCTTGCTCCAAAAGTCTTTAAGAAGTGAAAACAAAGGAAAATCCTGTTCCTGTGGCTGTTAATACACTTTATCTTACAGTCACCACATAAAAAAAGAGTGCCAGCTGAGTGCCCTTCACCTCTGGGTGTAGAATCAGCTCCCTCCTCTTTCCTCCTTTACACCTCTGCAAATCTTTTAATTCCTTTCTGCACAATGGGCCAGCCCTTGCAGTGGCAGGAGTGACGAATGCAAACCTGTGTTAACACCAGACAAACTAGACACTCGCTTGTAAGCAGGGAGACTGGCTCACAGCCACCCAGGTCAACTCTGACCTCCCCACATGCTGGAGAGGTGCCTAAAGCTGTTACAGGAATCACATCCCTCCCCAGCTGCATTGTGAAAGTAAGGCTGCATTTCACCAGTCCTCAACGTGAGTTCGTGGTAGTCACAAATTTCAGGATCTTCTTGGGATCCTGGAAGGAAGTTATCCAGCTCCCACACTTGGGAAAATCTTAGGTGAAAATCCATCACTCAAACTGATGGTGTTCTGACCATGTGCCACAAATGCAGATGCCTACAGAGCCTTTAAATTATACAGGGAGGTTCAGGTTGTGGGAGACCCAGGGTCAGGAAGCTACTTTCTGCAGGGGATTCTTTGGCCATAGGTTTAGGCTACATTGTTTAAGCTCTTGTTTGGGTCTAGTTCTTAAAACCTGACCTGCCTCCAACTCACCCAGGTGGGAATATTTCAGCTGATGTTTATAAGAACTAGGCTGGAGCCTCTAGTGTCAAAGGTATCTGCTAATTTACTGATTACTCTGTGTCCAGGTCCTGCCCTGGAGTACAATTCAAGCCTGATTATGCCACTGTTTTCTGATTCTCCACTTGGCAAAAGCAGAAATAGAAAAGATGTATGAATATATTTTCATGATATATGATAGTTGTTTTATCCTCTGCGTAGAAATTTTCCCATTAGGCAGAAGACACATAGTAAAACACATTTGACTATGTACTTTTCCCCAGTTGCAAAAGAAAAAAGTCACAGAAGCCAGCTTCAAAAAGCAAAGATACAACATTTGTAGTGTTGTTTCTTGGAGCTCCGTTTCTTGCTTGGCTTTTCAATATGTTTAGACGTGCTTCTGTTATTTGATTACCCCATTATATATATAAAATAAATACATTTAATATTGTCCATGAGGGATCAGCAGTGAGAATGCAAGCTGCTGGTTATTCTCTAGGGGTAAAGCAGACTAAGTTCACTGGAGTCAAAGGACAAAAACAAAGTAGTAAGCCAGGTGGTATAACTACCTCTCAGTCTGATGGTAAGAGTCATTAAAGTCAGACAAGCCTGTCTTAGTGTTTTTAAAGCTGTAACCATCTACAATGTATATTTTTGTATGTGGGTGTGCATTGAAATTTGAAGTAGTAGTCTAGTACCTTCACAGGTAACCACATCCTGATTATTTGGATACGGAGACATAAAAATAAATGGCAAGGTTAAAAACACATGTTTATTGCGATTTAAGGTCTGTGCTGGTATTCATTCAACCCAAAGACCAAAGACCTAAAAATAGCAACTGGTACACCAATCAAAATAAACATTAAGGCACCTGCAACACAAAAGACATTTGATTAACTGGTCAGAACTCGACGCCAGTGAAATTAGAAACAGAGGAAATTGTAAAGACTTAAAGCTTGGCTTTAGTTCCCATAGAAATAAGAGTAGCTAAGAAGTAATATCACTGGTTTTAAAGGGAGCAAAACAAAGTCCAGCAAGAAAAAATTCTTCCCAGAGAGGGTGGTGAGGCACTGGGACAGGTTGCCCAGAGAAGCTGTGGATGCCCCATCCCTGGAAGTGTTCAAGGCCAGGCTGGATGAGGCTTTGAGCAACCTGGTCTAGTGGAAGGTGTCCCTGCCCATGGCAGGGGGGTTGGAACTGGATGATCTTTAAGGTCCCTTCCAACCCTAAGTATTCTGCGATGCTACGATTCTATAAGATTCTGTTGTGCTGATTTTCACGTGGAGTTGTGACCAATGCAGGAGAAAGAAGCAGGTTTGTTATAGTGGAGCAGTTTAGCTCTAGAAAAGCATTTGCAAAACTAAGGATGCAATGAGGACTATGTAAATGTAATTAAAGTGCTACTGTCTTCTGCCAGTTTGGGACTTAGCTTTCCACCTTCAGCCATGTCATAGGATCTTATTTGTTAAAAGCAGGTGTTGCTTTTTTCCCCTCATGAACTCATCTGTTGCAACTGGGTAAGCAGAGCCATCCTGCCAAAAGGGGATTCCACAGCCGTGCACTGATTGTTCCTTCACCCCATCCACATTTTACCTTGACCTGCCATTCCAAGAGAGACCTAAAGTAAGGCTTGACAGTATTTGTTACTTAAGGAGAACAACCAAAGCTCTGACAATCACATGGACCTTTACAAGACACATGCTTCCCACTTGTATTGAATTTCTATCCTTCTGGAAAACTCTTCACAACCAATCTCACAGAGATAGGTCAAGGGACTGGGGTATAATTCTGTGTCTTTGTTATCTCAGGGTCTGGTCTGGTATTATCTGATATAAAATAAGATTTACCCTTCACTAAAAGTAACTGCAAGTCTGAAATTCAGACATATTTATGTATTTTAGTGATATTTTAGCTTGAAATGTGTCAAAAGTAAAATTCCTCATATAATTAGGTATCTTTGTTGCAGGTCCAATTAAAATAAAATTAAAGATAAAAGTGAGAACATTATTCTACCTTATCAAAGCAGGATAAACATTAAAAACTTTTTCTTAGGAATCTGTGCAGAGACATTTTCCAAGAAAAGATCACAAGAAAGCAAAACTCCTTACCAAGCAGAAACTGTTAAGTCTCCAACATCAAACCAAAGGACTTAAAAGATGTTTTTCTTTTAAAGAAAAAAACAAAAAACCAAAATGACATCCTGAAGATAAGTGGGCTGAACAAACCCCAGACAGCATGCAATTCATCACCAAGCTCCAAACCCATTGCCTGTCAAATATGGTAACAGCTGTCATTGTTCTTACCCATTTGAACTATCATATTTCACATTACTGTGGAGATTACTCCGCAAGTATAAATCACAAGAGCTTTATTTTTCTTGCTGGTCTGTTAGCAAGAGAACTGAGGCAAGACATCATGTAATCTTTCACTTTGGCTGCCACTATATATTGATGAATGTGCTCTGCTTGTTGCAACACCAAGAGAGGACATACTGGAGCTCACCTGCAAACGAGAACCTTGCTCTTGCAGTGAGCAGGATGTAGCTGAGCCCAGACACCCCTGCGGTTTTGTTCTATATGCTCCCCCAAGCTGACCGGATACAGAGCCCAGGCACAACTGTCCCACCAGCACTGAGAAGCTCCTGGCGGTGACCATTAAGACTCCAGGCCTTCTGGTATATCAGCACTGGGATGGTACTGGTGAGCCTCCATCACCTGTTAGCCATGAAGGATTTCAGGGGAGACCTTATTGCTCTCTACAACTGCCTGCAGGGAGGTTGCAGAGAGGTTGGTCTCTTTGCTGAAGTGACAAGTGTTAGGACAAGAGGAAATGGCCTCAAGTTGTGCTGGGGAGTTTTAGATTGGATATTAGGAAAAATTTCTTCACTGAAGGGTTGTTCAGACACTGGAATGGGCTGCCCATGGATGTGGTTGAGCCACCATCCCTGGAGGTATGCAAGAGATGTACAGACAAGGTTTAATGGTGGTATTAGCAGTGTTAGGTTAACAGTTGGACTTGATCTTAAGGGTCTTTTTCAACCTAAACTATTCTGTGATTCTATGATCTCTCATGCCATGCAGATTCCAACCAGCCGGAGGAAATCACAGCTGTGTTTGCAAGCCAGTTACTGATGTAGTTTGTTGCTTCTCCAAAGCCACAAAGTAGAAAATTAGCTGCTGCTACCAATCTTTATCAAATGTGCCATTAAGTCTTAACATTTACTTCACCAGCCTTGGATTGGACACCTGATGGGAATGTACCAATAAAATTATGATGGGTGAGTATCTTAACAAAAGAACAACTTATAAATAGCTTGCGTGAAGCTCTAAGAATAAGTCTGCTCTTGCTGAAACAAATTTGCCCTACTTTTAAAAGTTGTAGGATGGATTCTCTAAGCGTATTCATTACCACAAAGCCAAAAATATGCCCATACCAGCAGTCCTAGTAATTTCAGAAAGTCCTAAGGAACTGCGTGTATCTCATGTGTAGTTTTGTAGTCATGTAAATATCAAAGAAAAAGGAGAAAAATCAAAACAAATCCTACCCTTAAAAAAACCCCCGAGAATCCAAAAATAAGTTAGAGTGGTGGTTTTGCTCTCATCCCACAGATGAGATATGGAGCACTCCTTACATACCGCTTTCTAAAAAGATACTGAAGCAAGGCATTGAAACATGGTACTTTGTGGCAAAATGAAATGTAAGCAGTCAGTGTCAGGCCCTGTATGTTATTAATAATGTCTTTCCTGGAGTAGGTATAGATTTTTAAACAATGTCATATATTTTATCAGGTGTATGGTACAGACAGTCAACTTCTACAACATAAATTTCCTTCTATTTTCAGTTTCCTGACTATGTAGATGAATAGATGCAGGTAAGATTCATCTGACGTAACCAGAGAGAACTTAAAATTCATGAACTTTTGCAAGAGGCTAGTGATTTTGAGATAATGACTAGGTATTTCTGTGTCCTAAATGAAACAATTTGTCTGACAGTATTTCAAGGCCAAGGATGTTCCATTTTCTGAAAATGAAGTTCCTTAAAGGTTTCTCAAGGCGGGACTTCAAATTAGTAATTGCTTTTCAAAGTCTTCATTTCAATAACTGCATGCACTGTAACAATATGATTTTCAATGTTTAGTCCTGATGTGTTTTCAGATCACCATGTTAGTCATCTCTGCCTGTATTTTACTGAAGTATCTATTGTAAATGCTGACTCAGCCATTAATAGCTGCACTTTTGGTAGACGTGGATGTGATCAGAGGATCCTCAAGTATACAGCTGTTCCTACCATCTTTACTCAGATAAAACAGATTCAGTGATGGCTTAGTCCCTGCAGGGCTTGGCTAGACTCTGCACTGACCCTGCCCATGGAAGGTGTAACGTTTGTGGGAACAACACTGAATTGCATGGCTCATGTGAGGAAAGTCTGAAAATGTGGCACTCCAGTTCCCATGCAGAGTACAGAAACTACAAATGAATGCAGCCCTGCTGAGGGACATTTGCTTAACAGACACAAGCATGAATCAGAAAAAAATTAACTGACATAGGTGGAAAAACACTTGTGGAAGACCTGTCAGTCATTGTTCTTATCTCTTCCTTTGAATAAAGAGCATGAAACCATGCAGGACAAATAAGGATGTTTCTCTCTAGAATGGGCAGAAAGGAAACAAGGTGGACAACTTTTAAAACTGACTACACTGTGTAATGAAACAATTTTTATCAACAGATTTTAGAAATTTAAAACTCCAAACTCACATCAATACCATAGAAGTAGGAGACTATGAAGCCGGAGACACAAGCAGAAGTAATAAAACCCATCTAGCAGCCTAAGGACTATTAAATAAGAAGGATATAATGAAGTGTAAGAAAATATCTCTTAATGGGAAGAACCTATGTTCACCTTTTCTTAGTGAGATAATTGAGTGAGTTACAGTATTCCTGGTATGCATAACGGAAAACAAAACATTATTAGACTATTCTTCATTGCCAACAAATTCTCAACCCTACACTATTTACACATGAAGTGACTGCACATGCCAAATTTTCTTAGCACTTCCAACTTTACATTTGGCTTTCTTCATCTTTAGCATGAGAACTAAAAACTGCTCGTTGTTAGAGTGCCATCTTCAGCATCTGAAGTAAAAATAAGAAATCTTTCTATCAATAAAAATATATTGTGGTTTTCTACCTTCAGAAAAACAATCTGCTTTCCTAACAGCACTGGAGTGATAAGCAGAAGTTCTTCATACCTGGTATGGAAACTATATTATCAGAATATGTTATCAATACATTCAAAGTCCAGTAAAAACAGCCTTCAAGATAAGCTATTAAGAGACAAGAATGGCATTGGAATTGCTTCACACTGATGCTGATTTACAGGAGAAACACTTCTAAATGTTCTGATCAAGGATATTAACTGAAGTCAACTGCTGGGTGAAGATGCATGGCAAATAGAAATTAGAGAATAATCTGTTTCTCTGGGTTGAAAAGGTAAGCTGCAATTGCTTCCAATCTTTTTCAGGATCAATCAAGAGAGTCCTTACAACTGTTGTATGGTTCAAGTTTTTAATTTCCCATGTAATAAGCCCAGAGAGGTACAATTGCCATTTATTCAAAGGGTGAAAACAAAGCCCTAGTCTGCTGAAATCAGTGTAGCAGGTATTTATAAATACTGAAGAACACCTGGTCCAGGCAGATATATTTTGCAGTTTTCCCATCATTTACACCATAGATTTGCTTGGTTCGGGGATGGTGTTTTTTCTGTTTTGTTCCCCTCCCCCCTTATTCCTCATGATATTAAAGTATTTTAAAAGAAGAGTAGGCTGAGCTCCATTTTGAGTACAGGTGGGCAGAGACAGATAAATATAATAATTTGCCCCAAACTTCCTGAGTGAGTCAGTGGGCAGGGACACTAAACATCCCTGCAGGTCCTCAGCTCTGCACTCCCCATGAGAGTACAGTCATTCCAAACTGAAAAGCCAAGTAAGGAACTCTGAAGGCATTGTGTGATTGTGCTTAAAAATTAGGGGATCCTGAACTCTACTGTAGCCTCCGGACTTCTAAACCAAAGGTTATTCACATGTATTTACTTGTACAATTCCAGTCTGGGAGGCAAAAAGAAACAGTGAAATTACAAGGACTATCACTGGATCAGCCTGCCTTCATTTACAGAGGTACAAAGCTTAGGTAATCAGATCACTGGACAATGATAATTATTCAGTGTAGGAATGTTTTTGCAGGGTTATTCTATTGTTATTGCAGGAATGTGGCAGAATCTGGATCAACATTTATCTAATATGGGATATAATAAAACCCTTTTGCAGATCCATAAATTAAAGAAAAAGAATGTCCCTAAATACTTTATCTTGTGTTTTACAATGTATTACATGCAGCAAACTTGTCTACCACATATGGTATTTAGTAATGCAAAGGTACTATTCTGTCATAGCCCTTCAGCTTGTTTTAAGTAATATGCATTTGACAATAACATAGAGGAAAATCCATAACAACATAGACAGACAACAGTTTACTGCAGAGCACTGCAAAAGCATGAAAGTAACTGGTCAGTGTTGTAAAATACACTGACACATCTTGTTTAAATATTGGCTGATTAACTGAAGGAAATAAGTTTCCACAGAAAATTTTTAGTTCAGTTTTAGTACCAAAAATACTACATGATAAGCACATTATTGTCTTAATCTCCAACTGGAAAACAAAGCTGTGCTTTTCCTGTCAGACATGGGCATGTGTATACCTTGTGCATGCCAGTTAATACCAAAAAAAGAAGAAAGAAAGAAGGAAGAAAGCACAGAAGGGAAGAAAGCTTCTGTAAACAGAGCAGAAGACACAAAACATCCCCAACCCATCTGTCTTCACTCATCTTACCTTGCATTGGATACAAGCAATTCCAACTTAATGGTCCTGCTATGTTCTTCCCCCTAACTTATCCCTAATGTTCAGCTTGCTTTCAGAGTTTTTATAGTCTCTGCTGTAGGCTACAAACTCCAATCCCTGCCTTTGCTTTCTCTTACATCATTTCTAAAGATTTTCCACTGATTCTTGCCCTAAACATTTCTCTCTTGCACTCACACACATACTTGCCTCACATTTGTTATATGTATTTCTGTGATCAAGATGATTAGGTTATAATTAAAGGTCTAGGGGTTTTGTTGTTGAGTTGTTTTGGTTTTTTTTCTTTTAGAGAATCAGCCAGCCAGTCATGGGAGTGGAAAGATTTTCAGCAGCATCACCATTCCTCTAACCTCTCACTTTTGCAAACTGCAGTAGAGAAAGCTGATGTCCTGAATTTTTTTTAAACTGCATTTCTTGGGGACAACAGGAATAACTTTAGAAGAACTAAATTTACTCCATGAAGAAATTAATTACTAAATTTTTAGTAGACCAACACTATTACACTATTGTACAGTAAACACTGGAAAGAGTTTACTGTGTTTTGTAAAACAAGTCAGAAGAACAAGTCTTTCATACACCTTATTTCAATTACTTAAATGATTGTTAATTGTGAGCTATGGAGCTGCCTATCTTCCCTAGGCAGTACCAGAGAACCTATTTATTTCCCTGTTTTCCTCACTAGAATAAGTCTATCTTCTCTTTTCCTTTTTTTTTTAAATCTCAGTTTTTAATCGATTCATACAGCAATTGTAGACCCATTTTTGGGTCTAAAATTCCAACCTGCACAGACCCCTTAACAGTGAATTCATGACGACTTTATTCTCTACACACACAGGCACAGGTCTTTCAAAATAGTTTTTAATTTGACTTGCCAAAAGTCCTTCCTACCAGCAACAGACAGTAAAAAGAAGTTTCAAACGCAGATTTACAATAGGCTGGAAAAATTTGCCAGCCAGGGAGCAAAAGCTTTGATTTCATCATCTGTCTTGATCAGAATGATTAGAGAAAGACCAGAGTTTAACCATATTGTAACACAGCTCATTTCCCAGCTGAAGACGGCCGCAGAGTTTTGCGGAGCAGACAAAGCGCCAAATCAGGATGGTGCATAGCAAAGCATGTTTTCGCCACACTCCATGACTGAGGTATGAGGGGAAAAACAAATAAATAGAGAATGAGAGGCTGGTTTTGAATACGAGCACAACACAAACAAAGCTTCAGAAGAAGCAAAGCAAGATTTCCATCGCATCTCTCAGTATGGGCAGATACACGAGCATGGCCTAGCGTAGTGCTGCAGGAATACGCATTAGCCGCATGAGCGCCCACCCTGATGTCGGGCTGGAGCAGGCAGGTTGGGGCTGTTTTCCACTGCAGGGCATAACAGAACAGTGACGGCAGCTGCAGGGGTCACACGGGCTCTGTAGATACTAGAGTGCAGCAGAACCAAAAGGGCAGAGCCAAGCAACGTCACTGTTGAAACGCAGGTCCAAACACTGGAAAGAGAACTGGAATGGTGTTCTGTCTTACAGTGCTACCTGCATTTAAATGGAAGCTTCTTGATGGAAATCCAAGGACACAGCAGTGTTTGACTGCTATATATAAAACGTGAGCATGATCTCAGGAAAAAGATAACCATGATCCAACCACAAAGTGTTCTAAGATTTATGGGGTACCTTTGCTATATACGACCATGAGGTGTTGCTGACCAGCTACTGCGGTCCTAGGTGCTCGGTTTCTTTCTCTTTTTTCTGTTGGAAGGACACAAGGCAGCACTCACAGTCATTTACTCCTTTCAGGAGTTTTCACAGGTCCTATCTGGAGCTCTTTAAAGCAGGACCTCTGTAGGGCTTCATTCTGCCACCACATTTGGTGTTGAAGAAGCTTGTTGGAGACATGGGCTGTGCCACTGAGAGCTGATGACAGGCAACGGAATGGTCGTCATGTAGGTATTTCAGTATTTCACAACTCGGGGCAAAGCCTGGGGGATGGCCAAGATTCAGCCAGCTGAATTTTAGCACCTCACAAGAGTGAGTGGGATGGCAGGCTGCAGAAGCAGCAGGAGGAGAAACGCAGCCATACTGTCATCTCCTTTGACTCTAAGAGGATGTCTAAGACCTGGTACTAAAATTTGCTTTTAGGCCCTCCACTGATTGGTGATCCTGTCATAAAACTCCAGACACTTTTGGATCACCTGGGCCTACTGTGAGATTGTAGCTCTTCCTTTTATATAGGTCATATGGACTTTTTCTATTTCAAAATAAATTTATCCCTGTGCTCTTCCTACAAAAGCATACAACCTAAAAGATTTCTGAAATGGATGCCGATACACACAACTATCATCATCTCTGACTAGGTGTGAAAGACTCAAATCTGAGTAATTAGCCATCTTCCTGGGCTGCTCTTGACCTTAGAATAGGACATATATTACCAGCACATAGTGAGGTTTTGTTTTGGGCGGGTAAAAAAGATAAAATAGAGTGTTAGAGTATTAACATTTAATTTCCTGCTCTAAATTGGCATAGATATACCAACAACTTACAGCAACCTTTTTGTCACCTGCTGGAGAAGGGTGATAAAGCAATTTCCCAGATAATGAAAAAGGTATATGGTGGTTTCTTAGCTGGCAGAGTGCCCAAGGAACAGACATCCTCAACGCTACTGTGGTTTAATTATACTTACAGTATAATTAAGTTAGGGCAACTAAGAGTTCGGAAGGAATCTTTGTAGTCTTAACCATAAACAAATAAACAAACAATGTGTTTTTCTCAACTATGAAGGCAAAAACAAATTGGAGGAGGTAAGGATGCAAGCTGTGAAGCTGGTTTTGTTACCATCCAAGAGAAAGACAAGCTTGCCTCCCTGCTGCCCTCATAATCTTGCAAGTATTTTCTGTAATTCTTTCAACACCAGCTTGCAAATCAATCGAGCTGGCTCAATGTTTTCCTTAATTCCTTTAGTAGACAAGTTCTTACTCAGAGAGCAGGAGTTAGCAAGGGTTCACGTGTGTAATTGTTGAGCAATCCTGCTTTTCATCAGCCTTGCCTGTGGAAACTATATTTGGGTTTGTCAGACCTTGTCTTTAAAATCTTAGGAAGGGCCAGTGAATACACACGCCAGGTTAGCTGTATCATACTTTTAATCTTTTTCTTCTCCCACTAAAACATGTACCAGTACCGTTACATCACTGTGGTCTAAGTTACAGAAGTCTCCCTGTTGTGTCATTAAATTGGGAACTCTACCTCCCAGCCTCTTCAAATTATGCCACCCTTTCCACTGACCACTGATTCCTTGCCCAAGGTCGCACATTTGTCATTTGTAACTCAGCATGAATCGCATGGGGTCCAGAAGGCATTATGACCAAAGAAGTAGACCTATCCTCAGGAATTTTTGATTGAGCTGGAATGGAGTAAAGGCATGTGACTTGATTCACTCTGATAGCTATGATTATTCACAGTTTCACCTAACAGTGAGTTTGTCATTGGAAATAGGTTAGTTTTGAGTTTAGTATGAGAAATAAGGACAAGATTGAAATTAGAAAAAGTGGATTTTTTTTTGCCAATTTTGAAAGGTTTTCCCCAAAATTCTAAGAAATAATCCAAGAACTTTTTTCTTTTCAAATGAAAACACCAGATATTTTTTTTTTTTTTTAATAAAGAGTTGATTTCCACAAGTCAGGTGCTCAGCTGATACTGATTCATATGGCTCTGAGTTAAACAACTTGTTCATAAACAACTGAGATATTCCAAATTATGGCATTTTCAATCTATTTTTATTTCTTGAGATGGTAAACTCTTCTGATAAAATTGGCCCAATTCTGACTGGTCTGAAAGCATAGTAGTACTTCACCAGATTATCCAAACATTCAGCATCACTGGTTCAGGGAGGACATCCCACATTACTTGTGTTGCACTTCTGTTCATATCTTGTCTGGAGAAGGGGAAAGATTTTAAAATAACCACCACAGATTTTCAGTCAATATATAAGAGGGAATTTCAGAAACCAAGCTGATTCCCACCTATTTTCAGGTAGATGTACAGAGCTAGAGAGCAGATGACTCACTGCAGGACAGAAGTGTAGAAAAGAGACTCTGCATTAACAATGTGCACACATGTTTTCCAATTAAAGGTACATTCTACCTTGGAAGGAAAAACTATGTTAAGAAAGCTATTTTTAAATCTGCAAGCTATCAAGTAGCATTTGCTGTGTCACTTCCATTTAAGATGACTCCTTGCAGCGAGATAGATTTTGAGAAGCAAAACCCACAAAGTGAAGGTAGTATATAAAACTGAAGACAGTAACATTCTTCAGGAATGTTAGGCTTCCTACTAACAGTTTCTATATATGTACTTTTTAAAAGTCTTTTGTGCTAGAGTTAAGTGCTTGCAATAGGAGCTGGGTCATGACATCTAAGAATCCATAAAAAGCACTCACAAAACAAAGCAAGAATCCCAAACAAGGACAGTTTATTGAAATGCAAGATTTTTTTCTGTAACAGTCATGCTATAATGCAGAAGTATGTGTTTGGAAATAAAAAAGACAGTTTATCTTTTATGTCCATACCATTGGCTCCCAGGCCAAGATGGCCATGAGGAGTGAAGATGGCCAAGAAGAGCAACAGGGTCTTTTTTACTAAGGACACAGTGATCCACAGGCTAATAGTCAAAAGGCAACAAAACCATACAAAGAGGTCTCAAAGTACTAAGCCAATAGTAATAATTCTGAGCCAGTATCAGCCTGGTCCTGATTCAAACTGTCAACACGGAAATGAAAATCAGTAGACTGTGTTTCCATCTTCTCTAACTCTGCTACCTGGAATCCATGCTAAATATGAAGATAAACTGAGAACCAGCCCCTTCTTTCTCTGCTGAGAGGCAAGAGATGGAACAGTGCTGATGTTTTCACACTGCCTCCCTTAGCGAAGACACGTGTGCCGATGTCGCCTGCCACTGAAATAAACTCTTACTGTCCTGTGAACCCTTGTGGCACGG